GACAAAAAAAGAAGAAAAAAAAAAGAACATAATATTTACCTTAGCTTTTTTTTATGACCCATGAAGCAGCCGCTTATATTCCTTTCACTTCTGTTTCCACTCTTCGGAGAGAGAGAGAGAGAGAGAGAGAGAGAGAGAAGAGATAGATTTTGTGAATGTGTAAGCTTTGCGAGCAGACAACGTTCATTTATAAAGGAATTTCGCAAGTGTGAATTAACGTGGGCCCCTAAGAATAAGATAAGTTTAGTAGATTGTATTTCATATTTTGTTATATGCACTGAAATGGAAAATATATTCAACTTCATTTATTTACCAAAAAATGCAAACCTTGAAACTGATTCCCTATTTCGCACTACTATACGGTATCATATTATTAGGGTTTGTTCTCCTCGTCAACCTCGTTTATTTTCTTTTTAACCTTTTGGAAATGCGATCACCAACTCCATAATAAGAGGCATGTTTCTGATTTATATCATTACATGCACATGAAGCATATTAAAGATTTAATTGCACAAGTATTTATGTAGACTGATTCGTTGCGGTTAGATCGGCTGAAAATATTACAAAAAATAAATAAATAAAATTCTACAAAAGACGGCAGAAATAGAATCAGTCAATCGCGTGAATCAGTTGTCTTGTACACCTCTATTTTCTTCACTCAAATATTCATAAAGAAAATTCTATGAAGTATTAAAATAATATATTGATTACTAACTATAATCTTAAATACTTTCAAATATATATATAAATAAAATCGTATTTAGATTTTTATCAAATATATATATACACCGACAACATAAATATAACTCTTCGTAAAAATAACTTTCCGTAGTTCTACATAATTCAAAGTCATGAAGCTGGCAATTCCGCAAAAATAAATTAAAAGTTGCGTTTCACCGAAGAACAAAAAAAAAAAAGAATATTACAGAGGAAGAAATTAATAACACATGATCTCATATAACAAATAGAATTAGAACACGAGACTTTGCTAATTGGCGGAATAATGGAACCCGATGTCTCTTTCTTATATTAGTCTTAACGATTATTAAAACAAATCCAAGATTTTTAGGTGGACCACACTACCATCACATGTTTTGACGTTATGCTAAGGAAAAAATATTGTATCTAAAATACCTTTATTTAATCAGTTCTCTAATTAATGATTGGATATTGTTATTCATTTTAAGGGTAATGTTGGAAACAAATACAACAAATACATACATGGAAAACAATAAAACGCCATTCATTTTAAAACAAAAAATTGAAACATCTAAAATTAAACAGAGGGAGTATAATTAACACACCCGATAGGTCTCTTTAGGTATATTATAAAAGTAACTTACTACAGTTTCTATCATCGAATTTGCGTAGATGTTGGATACGTTTTTCAAATTTCTATAGATAGATAGATAGATAGATAGAAAATGAAAATTTGTCATAAACCGATTAGAACCGTTGGTTATCTTATCGAGCATCCTCAATTATAATTCGTATACAAATTGGAACACCAATAATTATCTTATTATTATGAAATCGTAAAAATATAAACGATCCAAAAATCAGATCGTTAACCAAAAACCGAAATCGATCGTTTCAATAGTAGCGGTGGACTTCACTGCAAAGATATTATATTTCGGGATTCCCTTTTTTTTTTTAATCCATATGGTCTTTGCTTTGAATTCAAAATGGCACGCAAGGGCATACCCATATAAGCGATGAACCTAGGTGGCATATGTAATTAATTATCGATCAGTTTTTCCTGATTAATTACATGAAATCTTAGAAAGGTACAAGCTTTGTTTCCGACACAGTTCAACAATTGTCATCTGACACCAAAGTTAGGAATCCGAACCCAAGGCAGTGGCCGGATACGGCGAGTCAACGGAGAGATTGGGAGGCGACAGATTTGTGAGATCTGAAACGACAATATGGAAGAGGAGTTTCCTCTGATTCGGTTCGAGTAAATCCGGTTTAAACCGATTCCAGTAAACCCGGTTTACTGTTCAATCAGGTCGATTAAACACGATTTTTCGAAAAACCGAAAAATTGCATACGTGGCACAAATTTTCTGAGCTGGCTCGACATGTCACGCGCCACGTCGGATAGGTCAACGCGTTTTTTTGACCAATTAACACTGATGACAGTTATGAAACCGTTTAACAAGTTCAGTAATTACCATGTTCAATTTTGCAAGTTCGGAAATTAATAGACACCTCTACAAGTTTAGGAATTTATATTATACCAAATTACAAGTTGAGGAATTTTGAGGGTTTTTTACCTATATATAATAACATCTCTAATTTTGAGGGTTTTTTACCTATATATAATAACATCTCTAACGCGAGAATTACCATACGAACACATACACACTTGATATTCACTTGTTTAAACATTATATATAGACCCTGAACAATGAGAACGGCTTTAATTACCATGGGTTTAAGTCAATGGCGTCGAGACCGGGACGAGTTGAAGGGGTATCTTCTTAGGCGCCACGAGTCCGTACGCTCCTTCTAGATCGACCTCTTTCGGTAAAATTAACACCGTTACATGATTTGAAATATGTATATGTATCCATGCTACATACTGTGTTTGTAAAGTCCGTTTGGTTCGTTTTAGTATCATATTGTACAAACTTATATAAAATTTATATTTTTTGTAAATCAATACAAAATATAAGAGGAAATTTGTCTTCGGTCTATTTTTTAAATTATGTCATATTCAATACATAAGATATAAAATCAATTAGACAAACAAAAGTATCATGAGAGAGTTTTTTTATTTATTTATCATATTTACATAAATTTAGTGTTTTCTGCTTTTCAAATGCCTAGGTGGAGTGGATCCCATGGTGTGGTTCAAGCAGGCGATGCCCAGAAACGCATTCATACATTGGATGATGATCCAGGGAAGGCTGCCGACTAGAGATCGTTTACTTCGATGGAATATTGTGCAGATTACAACTTGTGTTCTCTGCAATGGCAAGGAGAAATCACACGAGCATTCATTTTTCTGCTGTCCATTCAGTCGGAGGTGTGGTTACGATGGGCAAGGAGAGTTTGGCGAAACCCCCCTCCGAACCTGTCTGCTATTCAGGCTTGGTTAGCTACTGTTCTGGTTGACGACGATGACAGAAGGAATATTATTGGCAGAATTCTTGTCCACGAGGTGATATACGAGTTGTGGAGAGAACGTAACAACCATTTATTCACAAACAGAACGGTGATATTGTTGTTGTAGAAATCTTTGGTTTTGCATCTGAGAGCTTAAAAATAAAAAGTTATTTACTGAAAGTTTTGTATCCAC